AATATTAAAGTAATTTGTCATAAAATTGTGTAGCAATTTATATTTTATTTGTCTTATGGACTAAACTGTAATAATACAAAGTGTTTGTTATAATTAATTAAATGTACTGTATGAAAAATTACTTTGAAGTGGTTTGAAAAGAGGAATATGTTAGGAAAATTAAATCTTTGTATAATATACTATCATAAAGATGTATGATCACCACCAAAAGGACATTTAAGTGCATGTATACAGTTTAATATGCTGTCAAGTAGTAGTAAGTATGCTATGAAGTTTTTCCTAAAAGCATATTGCTTTTATTTTTTCAAGATCATACTCCCAAAGTAATATCAGGCCACTGGTSCCCCAGAGGTATGGGGAGAAGACAAGTTCACAGAGTGCTAGACACCTCCAGTATTATCCAGCAAGAAGTAAATGGTGTCTGTCCAAAGACGCCTTTGTRCTGGCTGGATTGGGGGTTGGAGGGGCTTCCAGCAGGGTGTTGAGAGTGAACACAGAGCTGGTAAACTGTATCTGAGTGGGGCTTAAATCCTTGTGATCCTGTGTAGACAGGGTTATGGGAAATCAAATGGGGGTAGCTGATAACCCTAAAAGTTTCAGCTTTTCTGGAGAAATTCTTTGTTGAATCTTAAGGGATATACATGTACAAACCAGATGAATATTGCTTTTCTTTCATTTTTTAATTTTATTGTTTTACTTCTATTCCACTTTATTTACTATTACCTGGGCATTGAACTTGTGTTTGAATTAATTACATCCTTCACAGTTCCAGTTCAGCACATGCAAATGTGTATAAAATAATTAATGATAAGCCTCTTATTTTTATTACCTTCATTCTGCTGTTCCTTGTTTATCAGTCTTTGCTCTTCTAAAATAAGTTCACATTAAAATTATCTTAAGGTATACAAATCTTCAGAAACATCCTTTGACAACACACTTCTGTTACTTCACCACTGGCATCAAAAAAACTCAAAATTTTATTAAAGTATTAAAACATTATTCTTAGTACATACTTTAAATGTAATGTTATTTCAATTAAATTATAATAGAAATTTGCTCATGTACACATAAAATATTTTTGCTAAAATTTAAGGTAACAGTGATGTTATCCTAACTGGAGAAAATAACTTTTATTTCTATCTTAAATTTGAAGTGAAGAATCACGCAAATCACCAGAAACAAAAATATTTTATTTAATTAGTATATTCTGTTTAATTGTGCCAAATTATTCAGAGGAAATATATCAAAATGAAGTATTAGAAACTATAATATATGTTATATATATATACTGTAATATATGTTATATATATAATATATAGATAGACARATATTACAAATTGTGAACCCTAAATATGAATAACTTTCTGAAAGGTGAGTGCTTTAAAAACTTCAATTATTACTGCAAAAACAATGGTTTAATTAACTTTTAGATTACCAGAGAATTTTTTAATAAATTAGAGCAAAAGCCAAATATTTAATAAGAAAATCAGACAACAGAAGAATAGTTACCCTGTACAAAACTGCTTTCTAAATGACATTGCATTTGCTAGGTAAAATTTTTGTAGAATTTTCCATAGAGATCTTAAACAATTTTATAAAATCTAATAATACACATACATGAGCATTTATGAATTATAACATCACATCTTAAACATCAATATGTTTAATAAAAAGTGAAAACACAAGATAGTGTCAATTTATTAGTGCTAACAAAAGGTTTAACTCCTGTGTTTTGTTTGTCCAGTATTGATATTCTATGCCTCCATGGAAGTCTTATCTACCTGAGGCAGAAGATGGAAGAATCAATTTCTTACTAAATAAGGAAAAATGGCATTACAGCGGAACAGTATGAGGAACAAAGTAAGATAGAATATATGGAAGACAAAGAGGTAGTCACTATTTTTAATGAAATGACATTTCTGGTGTTTCAATTAATTGCTTGATATAACTGGTGAATTATTGAAGGAAAAAAATAACCAACTCTATAAGCAAAATGTCTACACAAAAATCTTTGCACTTCTCTTTATTATTAGATCTTCTGTGCTGAGGGTTTTTTTTTGTGATACAGTTATAACAGATGCAAATATATTTATAAATACATATTTCTAAAGCTAAAAATTACTCAAATCATTTTTCTATTCACAGTTTTTGTCATATATCAAATCTTAGCTGACAATTTGTATAAAACCCATGTGTTAATTAATTATTTCTACCTGAGTGGCTTGTCTTTAACAATATTGGCTAAAGCTAGATAATAATTCTACTGCAGTTGTGGGAGTAATTTGCTTGATGTTGACATTAAAATTTTCAGTAGAGTGCATTGATTAATTACAACAAAATTAGAGGGTTTAGATCACAAATACTTTAACAGAAATACATGCTAGTAGATACAATACAAAATTACAGAAATAAATTGAATTGTCTATTTCTTGTACTTAGAGAATAAAAAGGAAAAACTCAAATCTAAAGATCTAGGAAAATTTACTCTCTTGTTCCATGGCTTTTCTAACATATCTAATAAACTAGAAATAAAATAATGCAGTAATAACCCAAGTGATATGACTTTAAGTTATTTTGTTTATTTGAAGTTCAAAGACTTCCTGCATTACTCATTTAATCATGGACATTTCCCTACAAATGTTAACTAAGCAACTGTTTTATTCTGGATATTTTGTTGGACTAGAGGATATAATGTTGGGAAAGTATATTCTCCACTCTTTGGAAGCAGGGGAAGAACATAATAGTTGGAGGGTAGGTGCACTTTTAGGTGGTAAGTGGCGTGATGTGTATGTACAGACAACCTAGAAACCCATCAGTCAAGTCAGGAAGTCATCTTCTTACTACAAGTTTCCTGTGAAATGATGGACAAGTTGAGTCAGTGAGACCCAAGTGGGAAAGCGTATGGCTATGTTTCAAAAGGAGAGAAAAGATCCTAGAAAGAGAAAGGACCCATTATGTCTCACAAAAAAGTTGAGAAAGTATCAGTTTATTAGGGGAAATTTAAAGGATCTAATATATAGAGATCTCAAGAAAAAAAATATGATTTGATAATGAATGTAAATAAGCTATTTATCAAGAAGGATGGCCTTTCCTTAACTATCAGATTTGACATTATGTAAGGCTTTAATGGTTGTGCTATGGATGTAGTAGTTGATACACTTTTAACAATGTTAAAGAGCATGTGCTAAGCTAAGTTTTCCTATATGGGAGGAAAAAATATTATTTATTATCAAATAAATATTTTCTTGTTATTAATAATTTACCAAATATTCATTTATTCCTTAATTTTTAATGTTTCACAAAATAGCCTCCATTAGATTTTTGTATAGTGCCTTACTCAATACTATATATAGATAAGTATATCTGAAGCTTCTTTATTTTTTTAACATCATGAGGTCACTGCAAAGTGAAAGTTTATTGGATTCTGTTCTATGTTTGTATTGAATTCCCGTTATTCATCCTATAGAGATATACTGTTCATCCCAATTTAATGCAAAGAGATATACACAATTAGCAATAGAGGACTTCAATTCATGTATTTGAATCTAAATTTTTTTTTATTAATGAAGAACAGCACATTATCTAACTAGACATTATCTAATTAGACCTAAACAATTATCTTAATCCAAGATGCAGAGATAAGTATTTTAAATACCTAAGCTTTTAACAAATGAGAAGAGGAACACTACTTTACTAGCTATATTTCCAACTAAGTCCCTAACTGAAAAACACATAACTTTATATATAAGTTTGTGTTTTAAAAATGATAAAAGTTTAAAGTAAGGTGAAAGGAAACTATTGTTCTTATATTGTAATAATTTAATTTTATATTTAGTTTCAGGTAACTAAAATGTTTTTAGATGAAAGTCTTAAATACATGATGAACACTTTTAACTGCTTTATCAAATAAGCTAGGAATAGTAACTAAGAAGTAAGGGAACTCTGAGACTCTAAAGTGTGTTACACTGAACAAAGAGTTTACAATTATCTATGCCTTTTTACAAATTAATGACTAGCTCTGATTTCCCACTGTGCCCTAAGAAGTCTCTCATTTTCTCAACAAATTTTGCTTGTTACTAGATGACTTACTTTAAAATAGTTTTGTCTTGGTAATCATTTTTCACTCTGCATGGAATGCATGATATTTTCATAATCTATGAATCTAAAATGAATATTTTAAAACAGAGCACAGATTATATTTAATTTGAATACCAGCTGCTTAGCATCCAAACCTATTTGTATAATAAACCTCAAATATATGAAAGAAATTATCTGTCATTTTCACGCTAAAGAAAGAGTATTTGCCTCCTGAAACAGCAAAATCATGGTGCAAGTCAAGGGTAAGATACCTTTTCTCAAATGATAAATGAGTAAATAAATCATATAAAGATACTTATAATAGAAGTTTTTATATTAAATTCATAAGGGAAATATAAGTTTGTTTTACTTATTTCTGATAACTTGTCATTTTGAATTGTTTTTCAATATCTTGATTGAATTAGCAGTTCAAGAAATTCAAAATAAAATTTTTAAGGAAAATTATGTAAAAGGGGAAAAATCTTTTTTTTCCTTTGCTTTCTACAATTTCTTAGATTGATTCTAGGATCCCAAATTTTGGATACAGTGTTTAGTCATACTGTGATGTATTAGATATTATGGCAAATTGTATTTATGAAAAAAATAACCAGAGGATTTAACCGTCACATTTCTATCAAAGGTATCAACAGAATTAAATAATTACCTTTTCTACTACATGTAGCCCAGTAGTGATTACACTTACATATGTATAGGCAACCTGAATTATGTCAGTCATATATGGCCTATTAATCTTAAATTTATGAGTATTTTATATTTTATCAATTTCTTTTTTTTCTTTTTCCTTTTCTTTTTTCTTTTTTTTGCACTAAATGATTTTGTTTTTATTAATTAGCACCCCATATTTAAAAAGACAAATGAGGGAGAGTTCCCTGGATACACAGGAAGGATACAGGTAGATGGGCTCAGGAAGCCTTCTGAGTACTGGGAGGCAACACCCTCTAGGAGTGAGCCTTCACCCAGGGGTGCTCCAGAATCTGAGCCAGGGAAACACGCTCTGAGGGCTGATATCTAAGAAGCTTGGAGACCAAGTCCTGGGCCCCCACAGACACTGAGGGGGGAAATGTCACATCCATGTTGAGGATGCGTCCCTGGGTTTCACTCTGAGAGGTTCTTTCAAAAGGTGGCTTTCCCACCAGCAGCTCATAGYAGAGCACCCTGACGCACCACACGTCCACCTTCTTGTCATAGGTCCTGCCTTCCACTATTTCTGGGGACAAGTAGTCCAGAGTCCCACGTGTAGTCTGCCTCCTGAGGGAGAGAGCATGCACAGACCAGCCAAAGTCTGCAATCTTCACCTCACCCATCAGCCCCAGCAGCAGTTTCTCTGGCTTAATGTCCCTGTGAATCACCTTCTTGTCGTGGCA